TAGAGAAAGGGCTGGAGGATTCACGAGTGGAAATGAAGAATAAGCTGAGTTCTCCTGGGTCAGGGCCTGACTGCTAAAAAGAGAGCAGCAGTGTTTCTTTCCCCCAGCTCTGGAAGCCAGTGGGGACCCAGGATTGGGGACCCCTGGTGCCACACTCACCCCCATCAGAATTTGGATGCCTTCCTCTAGGTCCTTCAAGTACTCATAGACATCGGTGTCCAAGATGTTATGCCGTTGGCTGTTGGCAAAGACAGTGCCGAGGAGCTGCATGGGTTCCAGCCAGGACTGGATGAGGAACAGGCAGATGTGGAGCAGCTCTAGGTTCTGCAGGGAAAGGACCGGCAGTGGGTGTGCTGCCCGGGGGCTCTGACCACCGGCTTCGCCCATCCCTGCCTGGGGAGAGGGCGACCACTCACGGATTTTGCCAGCACTTCCTCCTTGTTGGAGGGTGTCGGGATAGACTCTGAGAAGCAGAAGAAGGTCTTGGGGTTGCGCAGGAAGAAATACTTCTGTTCTTTTGGGACATAATTTTCTTCCTAGCAGAAGGATCCCCCATCAAGGTCCATGCTGGTGACTAGCTCCCACTCTTACTTTTCTGGGACCTCACTCAGCATATGATCATCTGCCTGCATCTTCACTTCAGAAAACAAACCTGAGCTCCTTCATCTCCTCCCATTACTTCCTAACAGGGGAAAGTCACCCCTTCCTGCCACCCCTGATGGGCACCTATTCCCCAAGAGCTTACAAACTCCTGGTAGGTGTCAAAGCCCAGCTGGTGCAGCTGATGGGCACGGAGCATAGCGTCGCCAAAAAGCCTGGATAAGGGAATTCTTGGAAAGGCACCAGTCTCTTGAAGCCAGGGCAGGCAGAGCAGGGCAAGAGCGAGGAGCAGGGACATCCGGGAGCCTGGGTAGAAACCGGAGAGGAAGGGAGGGAGCCGGAGAGCAAAAAGCCAGGGCTCTTGCTCAGGGGCAGTTTTTTTTTTTTAGTCTCCCTCCAGGGACCAGGAACATTCTGAGATTGGCCAAATATCTGGGCTTAGATGGTGATACTCACATCCAGAAGCCCCAAACCTGAGGACTAGTGCCCCCGTCCCATCTACAGGGTGCCACCTCTCCTGTCCAGACACATCCTGCTCAAAGGGATTTTAGGGGCTCTTACCTGTAGCCATTGCAGCTGGGTGAGCTGTCCGCAGGACTCTCAGTGGTTTGGGGGGTTGGGCCTTGGGATCCTGGAGCTGGTCTCTTGTGGGCCCTTTTATACACTCGCCCCTTCTCTCTGCCTGCTGGCCCCCACCTGTTTCTATGCACGTTCGTGCAAGGGGGGCCACGGACGTGCCTGTGCTAATGGATAATTTGGAAGCTTCTCTCACACATGCTGGTATCATGCCCCCTGGCCTGTCATCTTTCCCTTCCCACCGTCACCAGCGCTGTGAGGGTTGTGCACAGAGTGTCAGCCAGAGGCACCACCCATCCTGTCCTCTCTTTAAGGGGCAGGTGGGTGCCCTCTGGCAGCATGTCATGGTGGTCAACCTGAAGGTGGGAAAGGATGTCAGGATAGCCAGTCCTTGAGACGCCCATGGACATCATCCCACTCTCTATCCTATCCCTTTCCGCCTTACCACATGGTTTCTCTCCACTCAGCAAAGAGAATGTGTGTGCTGGGACAAGGAGTCAACCACAGCCAATAGATTCTGGGGGTTCTGGGCATGATTCAGACCTGAATTTCACCTTTGCTGAGCCCTGGGCCCGCCTGAGGCAGCTGGATGCAGTGCTAACACTGACCACTAGAGGGAACCAACCCATTCTTGGCCCTCCCCTCTTCCTGGGCCTTGGGGCTCCCCCAGGTCTGTGGGGAGGAAGAACACAGACTCAGGGTATTACCAAAGCTCCTTGGACCTGCAGCAGAGATACAAACCAAGAAACAGAAATCCCGGCAACAGACATGAACCACAAGCGCTTCCTCCCATAGCCCTGAATCCATCAGAGAATCTCAAAGTTGGAAGAGCTCTTGAAGATTTGAGTCTCCTCCCCAGCTTTGGAACTCAGAACTCACCCAGCCAAAAGATGCCCTATGCAGCCGTGGAAACCCCTCCTTCTTTCTCTCCTTCCCCTTTCCAGATCTGTATGGAGCTTATCCAGTTGCAAAGGGCCTCCCTGTGCATTCTCACATCTGACCTGCCACTTGTCTTGTGAAGGAGCTATTATGGTCATCCCATTTCACAGAACAAGAGACTGAGGCTCAGGGAGACTGACTTGCATGAGCTACCTCAGCCAGGGCAGGTCTTCACAAGCTTGCTCTTCCCACATTGTGTCATTTATAGTCCTTTTTCCAGGCCAGGCATGGTGGTTAACACCTGTGATCTCAGCATTTTGGGAGGCTGATGTGGGTGAATCCTTTGAGATCAGCATTTCACGACCTGCCTGGTCAACCTGGCAAAATTCCATCTCTATTAAAAATAGCAAAATTATCTGTGCATGGTGGCCCATGCCTATAATCCCAGCTACTTGTTGCGGGGGGGGTGAGGTGGCAGAATCCCTTGAACACAGGAGGCAGAGGTTGCAGTGAGCCAAGATCTCACCTCTGTACTCAGGCCTTGGTGACATAGCAGAACTCCAGCTTAAAAAAAGAAAAAAGAAGAGTTCTTTCTCCAGAGCAGGTAGTGTGGTGCTACTAGTTATTTAGTTATTCTAGCTTCTTTTTTTTTTTTCAGATGGAGTCTCATTCTGTCACCCAGGCTGGAGTGCAGTGGCATGTTCTTGGCTCACTGCAACCTCTGCCTCCTGGGTTCAAGTGATTCTCCTACCTCAGCCTCCTGAGTAGCTGGGATTATGGGCACCAACCACTATGTGGGGCTAGTTTTTATACTTTTTAGTGGATACAGGGTTTCACCATGCTGGCCAGGCTGGTCACAAACTCCTGACTTCAGGTGATCCACATGCCATGGCCTCCTAAGTACTTAGATTACAGGTGTGAGTCACCGCTCCCAATGCAGTTATTTCAGCTTCTAAATTTCTCTGAGTTCAGGGATCCTGCCCTCAACACAAGCGGCCCTTTGCCTCATTTTGTTCTTCCATAAGGGGCAGATTCTTCTCCCTCAATTACCAGGTGAGAATGGCCCAGTGGCACAGGTTGCCTGTGGAAGCCTCACAGCAGGACAAGACGAAGGCAGAGAAGGCCAGGACTGAGCCTCCTGTCTCCTGGTGCCCAGGGTTGGGGCTATTTCAGTATCATCTGAAGGTCACAAGCATCAGATGCCCCCAGAGATGAGAGCAGGAAAGAACATCCTCTCCTGCCCTGAAATCTTCCACCCATGAGTTTAAGGGCATTGAGCACGTGATGCTGTAGAAACACAAGCAAGTAAACAAGCAAACGCCTCTAGAAGTGGTTGGCAGTGGTGTTGCCAACTAACATTGAAAACCCACACCCCTGTGGTCTAGGATGTGAATTCTGGGCTCTGCTACCTCCCCCTTTTCAGAGCAGAAGATGGAGCTCATTTTCTGTGGTCATTCCTGAAGCATAACCCGACCAGCACCCCAGAGTCATCATCTGCTGGGAGGGCACTGGGCTGTGGGCTATTTTCCAGGCACGTCAATGGGAGGATCCGAGAGGGATGTCATCAATGATACCAGCTCTGAGAAACATGGGGTCACCGGGAGGGTAGAGACAGGACTTACCCCTGGTCCTTCCAGCGCCACCAAAGAGGAGGAGCCAGGTGGGAATGGAGGAGGGTCCCTGAGCTCCACGTAGCTTTCTGCATCCCCCACCATCCTTCTTTCAATGTCAAACGGGAGGTGGAGTCCCCATGACAGGGCCTCTTAGCCAGTGAAGGGGACTTAGATGTGGACTGTGAGTTCTACAGGCGGTGCTGGTTCCCACCCCTGTCCGCTGCATCTTCCTAAGGGAAGCGAGTATCAGCTGGGATTTATCCCTTCTCATCCAGTCCTCATTGATTACGTTGTTATCTATCTGGCACCTGTAGGGACTTCATTTGCAACCCCAAATAAAATGTCTCTTCCACTTCCCTTGCCCTAATTCAGATCCTAAAAGCTCTGGTTCTCTATGTTTTAAACTCATTTTTGCATTGTTCTCATTTTCCAAGGGTAGTTGGGCTTAAGGAAAATTCGTCTTAAAATTCTTCTGCACACAAGGAATTCCATGACATTGTTTTCTCACGCTTTGGGGAATTTTTGCCTCTGCACTTAATAGCCTGTCTTGTTTTCATTTCTTCTCACTCCTGGTGGGCTAGGTTTGGTGGTGCTGGTGATGGTCGGAGAGGAAGAAATCCTTTCATGTCATCACTGGGATGACCGGTGAGCTGAGACCAAAGCTGGGAGCACTGATCTGGTGGAGTGGCCTCAGTAAGTAACAGACAGCAGTCATGTGCCAGCTTCCTTCTGGCCCAGGAAGAGTCACGTCCATTATGTTTCAGGCGCCTGGCTCCCAATAGACCCCGCAGGCCATGCAGGTTGTCTTCCCAACCTGCCCCTTTCTCCAAACCCCCACCCCACCCCATAATATTAGAGAAGGCGCTTAGACAAAATGACGCAACTTAATTTTATTAGGACAGGGCTGGTGGACACTGGAGTGCCACCTTTCGGGGCCAGGAGAGGCACTGGGGAGGGGTCTCAGGGATGCCACCTGGCAGCTAGAGGCCACAGCTGCCCTCCACAGAGCGGCACTTCACAATGCTCAGGAATGTTTCGAGCTTGTTCATGTCTCTCCGGAAGCAGTAGAGCAGCCCGTAGTTCTTGAGCAGTGTGTCATCGTTGTGCAAGTTGATGTCAAACTTGTTGTGTGTCTGCCTGGGGATCTCCCCAGTCTGGGGGCTGCCATCTTCCAGCCTCTGCAAAGTGAAGGAAGAGAAGGAGAGGCCAAGCGCTTGGACACTCTTCCCTCCCTCTCTCACTCATTCTTTCTCCTCCCTCCCTCCAAGGCTCCAAGGTGTAGAGAAAAGGCTGGAGGATTCATGAGTGGAAATGAAGAATAAGGTGAGTTCTCCTGGGTCAGGGCCTGACTGCTAAAAAGAGAGCAGCAGTGTTTCTTTCCCCCAGCTCTGGAAGCCAGTGGGGACCCAGGATTGGAGACTCCTGGTGCCACCCTCACCCCCCTCGGAGTTTGGATGCCTTCCTCTAGGTCCTTCAGGTACTCATAGATGAAGCTATCTAAGAAACTATGCAGTTGGCTGTTGGCCAAGACACTGTTGAAGAACTGCACGGGCTTGAGCCACAACTGAATGAGCAGCAGGGAGTTTTGGAGCAGCTCTAGGTTCTGCCTGGGAAAGACCAGCAGTGAGTGTGCTGCCCAGGGGCTCTGACCACAGGCCTCCCCCATCCCTGTCTGGTGGAGAGGGTGGCCAGTAACAAATTTCTGTAGAGTTTCCTTTCTGTTAGTGGGTGTTGGGGCAGACGATGAGAAGCAAAGGGAGGTCCTGGTGTTATGCCTGAAGAAATCCTTCTTTTCCTTCGGGCTATGAGCTTCTTCCTAGGAGAAGCACTGCCTGTCAATATCTGTGCTGGTGACCAGCTCCCATTGTTCCTTTTCTGGGACCTCACTCAGTGTATGCTCATCTGCCTGCATCTTCGATTCAGAAAACAATCCTGAACTCCTTCATCTCCTCCCATTACTTCCCAGCAAGTCAAAGTCGCCCCTCCCCACCCACCCTGACATGCATCCATTTGTCAAGAGCTTACAAACTTCTGGTAGATGTCAAAGGCCAGCTGGTTCAGGCGATGGGCGCGGATCATCGCATAGTCATAAAGCAAGGATATGGGAATTGGTGGGAAGGCACCGGCCTCCCGAAGCCAGGGCAGGCAGTGCAGGGTGAAGGTCGGGATCAGGGGTGCCCGGGAGACTAGGGAGAAACCAGAGGGCCTGGGAGGGAGCCGGAAAGCCAGAGGGCAGTGCTCTTCTTCAGGGGCTCTTCCTTTTTTGTCTCTCCCTCCAGGGGCCAGGAACATTCTGAGACTGGCCAAATATCTGGGCTTAGATGGCAATACCCACATTCAGAAGCCCAAACCTGTGGATTAGTGCCCCCGTCCCATCTACAGGGCACTGCCTCTCTCCTCAGGACATGTAATGCCGAAAGGGATTTTAGGGACTCTTACCTGCAGCCATTGCAGCTAGGTGAGCTGTCCACAGGACTCTCCGTGGTTTGGGGAGTTGGGCCTTGGGATCCTGGAGCTGGCCTCTCGTGGGCCCTTTTATACCCTGTCCCCTTCTCTCTCCCTGCTGGTCCCCACCTGTTTCTATGTATGTTTGGGTAAGGGGGGGTCACAGACATGCCTGTGCTAGTGGATAATTTAGAAGCTTCTTCCACACATGATGGTATCATGCCCCCTGGCTTGTCATTTTTCCCTTTCCACCGTCACCAGCACTGTGAGGGTTGTACAAAAGAGGCACCACCCATCCTGTCCTATCTTCAAGGGGCAGGTGGGCGCCCTCTGGCAGCATGCCATGTGGGCCAACCTGAAGGCGGGAAAGGATGTCAGGATAGCCAGTCCTTGAGACCCACACAGACCCCATCCCACTCTCTATCCTTTCCCTTTCCGCCTCCCCGCGTGGTTCCCCTCCACCCACCAGTGAGAGTGTGTGCTGGGAAAAGGGGCCAACCACAGCCAATAGATTCTGGGGGTTTTGGGCAAGATTCAGTCCTGAATTCCACTTTTGCTGAGTCTTCCTTGGCCGGCCTGAGGCTGCTGGATGCAGTGCTAACACTGACCACTAAAGGAAACCAATCACATACTTTGCCCTCCACTTTCCCTGAGCCTTGGGGCTCCCGCAGTTCTGTGGGGATGAAGAACCCAGACTCAAGCGGAGATACAAACCAAGAAACAGAAATCCCGGCAACAGACATAAACCACAAGCACTTCCTCCCATTGCCCTGAATCCATCAGAGAATCCCAAAGTTGGAAGAGCTCTTGAAGGTTTGAGTCTCCTCCGGAGCTTTGGGACTCAGAACACATCACACTGAAAGACGTCCTATGCAGCCATGGAAGCCCATCCTCCTTTTTCTCCTCCTCCTTTCCAGATCTGTATGGAGCTTATCCAGTTGCAAAGGGACTGCCTGTGCATTCTCACATCTGACCTGCCACTTGTCTTGTGAAGGAGCTATTATGACATCCCATTTCACAGATCAAGAGTCTGAGGCTCAGAGAGACTGACTTGCATGAGCTACCTCAGTCAGGGCAGCAGGTCTCCACAACCTTGCTCTTCCCACATTGTGTCATTCAAAGTCCTTTCTCCAGGCCAGGCATGGTGGTTAACACCTGTAATCCCAGCATTTTGGGAGGCTGAGGAGGGTGAATCACCTGAGGTCAGGAGTTCGAGACCAGCCTGTCCAACATGATGAAACCCTGTATCTACTAATAATACAAAAATTAGCCAGGTGTGGCGGTGCATGCCTATAATCCTAGCTACTCAGGAGGCTGAGAGAGAAGAATCGCTTGAACATAGGAGGCAGAGGTTGCAGTGAGCCAAGATTATGCCACTGCACTCCAGCTTGGGTGCCAGAGTAGAACTCCATCTCAAAAAAAGAAAGAAAGAAAGAAAGAAGTCCTTTCCCCAGGGCAGGTAGCATGGTGCTATTCCTTTAGTTATTTCTGCTGGCTCTTATTCATACTCCTCCTCCACCTCTTCCTCTTCTCCTTCTCTCTCTTCTTCCTTCCCCTCCTCCTCCTTCTTCTCCCTTCCTTCCTCCTCCTCCTCCTTCTCCTTCTTCTCCTTCAAAACGGAGTCTCATTCTGTCACCCAGGCTAGAGTGCCGTGGCATGATCTTGACTCACTGCAACCTCTGTCTCCTGGGTTCAAGGCATTCTCCCACCTCAGCCTCCTGAGTAGTTGGGATTACAGGTGCCCCCTACTATGCCAGGCGAATTTTTGTACTTTTTTTAGTAAAGATGGGGTTTCACCATGTTGGCCAGTCTGGTCTTGAACTCCTGACTTCAGGTAACCTGCCTGCCTTGGCCTCCCAAAATACTGAGATCCAACCCAGTTATTTCAGCTTCTAAATTTCTCTGAGTCCAGGGATCCTGCCCCCAATACAAGCAGTCCTTTGCCTCATTTTGTCCTTCTATAAGGGGCAGATTGTTCTCCCTCAATTCCCACGTGAGAATGGCCCAGTGGCACTGGGTGCCTTGTGGAAACCTCACAGCAGGACAAGGCGAAGGCAGAGAAGGCCAGGACTGAGCCTCTTGTCTCCTGGTACCCAGGGTTGGAGCTATTTCAATATCATCTGGAGGTCATGAGCATCAGATGCCCCCAGAGACGAGAGCAGGAAAGAACACACCCTCCTGCCCTGAAATCTTCCACCCCTGAGTTTAAGGACATCCAGCATGAGACACTGTAGAAACACAAGCAAGGAAATCAGCAAATGCTTCTAGAAGTGGTTGGCTATGGTGTTGCCAACCAACATTGAAAACCCACACCCCTGTGGTCTAGGATGTGAATGCTGGGCCCTGCCACCTCCCCCTTTTCAGAGCAGAGGTCTGAGCTCATTTTCTGCCGTCATTCCTGAAGCACAGCCCGACCAGCACCCCAGACTCATCAGGTGCTCGGAGGGCACTGGGCTGTGGGCTGTTTTCTAGGCAGGCCTGTGGCAGAACCCGAGAGGGATGTCATCAATGATACCAGCTCTGAGAAACATGGGGTCACTGGGAGGGTGGAGACACCACTTACCCCTGCTCCTTCCAGCACCACCAAAGAGGAGCAGCCAGGTGGGAATGGAGGAGGGTCCCTGAGCTCCACGTAGCTTTCTGTGTCCCCCACCATCCTTCCTCCCGTTGTCACCTGGGACATGGAGCCCCCGTGACAGGGCCTTTTAGCCAGTGCCGGGGATTTAGATGTGGATTGTGAGTTCTGCAGGTGTTGCTGGTTCCCACACCTCTGTGTTGCATCCCGCTATGGGAAGCGAGTATCAGCTGGGGTTTATCCCTTCCCATCCAGCCCCCATTGCCTCCATTGCTATCTATCTGAGTTTCCTTTTTGCTGGCGCGTGTCGGGATAGACTGTGAGAAGGAGAGGGAGGTCTGGGGGTTGTGGCACCTGCTGGCACTGCATTTGGAAATCCAAATAAAATGTCTCTTCCACTTTCTTGCCCTAATGCAGATCCCAAATGCTCTCGTTCTATATGTTTCAAACTCATTTTTGCATTGTTCTCAGTTCCCCAGCGTAGTTGTGCTTAAGGAATATTTATCTTAAAATTCTTCTGCACAAAAGCAATTCCAAGACATTGTTTTCTCACTTTTTGGGGGAACTTTTGCCTCTGTACTTAATAGCCTGTCTTGTTTTCATTTATTCCCACTCCTGGGGGGCTAGCTTTGGTGTTGCTGGTGATGGTTGGGGAGGAAGAAATGCCTTCTAATCATCACTGGGATGATCAGTGAGCTGTGAGCAGCAAGCTGGGAGCACTGATCTGGTGGAGTGGCCTCAGTAAGTAATAGACAGTAGTGCTGTGCTGGCTTTCTTCGGGCACAGGAGGATCAAGTTCATTATGTTTCAGCGGCTTGGTTCTGAATAGACCTCATAGGCCATGTATGTTGTCTTCCCAACCTGGCCCTTACTCCATACCGCCACCCCCACCCCATAATATTAGAGAAGGACACCTAGTCAGACAAAATGATGCAACTTAATATTATTAGGACAGGGTTGGTGGACACTGGAGTGCCACCTTCCGGGGCCAGGAGAGGCAATAGGGAGGGGTCGCAGGGATGCCACCCGGCAGCTAGAAGCCACAGCTGCACTCCACAGAACGGCACTGCACAAAGCGCAGGAATGTCTCGACCTTGTCCATGTCCTTCCGGAAGCAGTAGAGCAGCCCGTAGTTCTTGAGCAATGCGTTATCGTTCTATGAGTTTATGTCAAACTACCTGTAGGTCTGCCTGAAGATCTCCCCATTCCAGGGGCTGCCATCTTCCAGCCTCTGAAAAGGTCTCCCTCAGGGACCCGGAACATTCTGAGATTGGCCGAATATCTGGGCTTAGATGGTGATACTCAAATGCAGAAGCCCCAAACCTGAGGGTTAGTGCCCCCGTCCCATCTACAGGGTGCCACCTCTCCTGTCCAGACACATCCTGCTCATAGGGATTTTAGGGGCTCTTACTTGCAGCCATTGCAGCTAGGTGAGCTGTCCACAGGACTCTCCATGGTTTGGGGATTTGGGCCTTGCGATCCTGGAGCTGGTCCCTTGTGGGCCCTTTTATACCCTCGCCACTTTTCTCTGCCGTCTGGTTCCCACATGTTTCTATGCACGTTCATGCAAGGTGGGCCATGTACCAGTACTAGTGGATAATTTAGAAGCTTCTCCTACACACGGTAGTATCATGCCCCCTGGCTTGTCTTCTTTCCCTTCCCACTGTCACCAGCGCTGTGAGGGTTGTGCACAGAGTGTCAGCCAGAGGCACCACCCATCCTGTCCTCTCCTTAAGGGGCAGGTCGGTACCCCCTGGCAGCATGCCATGGTGGCCTACCTGAAGGCAGGAAAGGATGTCAGGATAGTCAGTCCTTGAGACCCACACGGACCCCATCCTACTCTCTGTCCTATCCCTTTCCTTCTTACCACATGGTTTCTCTCCACCCACCAGAGAGAATGTGTGTGCAGGGAAAAGGGGCCAACGACACCCAATAGATTCTGGGGGTTCTGTGCATGATTCAGACCTGAATTCCACTTTTGCTGAGTCCTGGGCCCGCCTGAGGCAGCTGGATGCAGTGCTAACGTTGACCGCTAGAAGGCACCATCCCCATTCTTGGCCCTCCCCTCCTCCTGCCCATTGGGGCTCGTCCAGGTCCCTTGGTATGAGGAACCCAGACTCAGGGTATTACCCCAGCTCCTTGGACCAGCAGCAGAGATACAAACAAAGAAACAAAAATCCCGGCAACAGACATGAACCACAAGCGCTTCCTCCCAAAGCCCTGAAACCATCAGAGAATCTCAAAGTTGGAAGAGCTCTTGAAGGTTTGAGTCTCCTCCCCAGCTTTGGAACTCAGAACGCACCCCATCAAAAGGTGCCCTATGCAGCCGTGGAAGCCCCTCCTTCTTTCTCTCCTTCCCCTTTCCAGATCTGTATGGAGCTTATCCAGTTGCAAACAGCCTGCCTGTGCATTCTCATATCTGACCTGCCACTTGTCTTGTGAAGGAGCTATAATGACATCCCATTTCACAGATCAAGAGACTGAGGCTCAGAGAGATTGACTTGCATGAGCTACCTCAGCCAGGGCAGGTCTTCACAACCTTGCTCTTCCCACATTGTGTCATTTAAGGTCTTTTCTCCAGGTCAGGCATGGAGGTTAACACCTGTAATCCCAGCACTTTGTGAGGCTGAGGTGGGTGAATCATTTGAGATGAGCAATTCAAGGCCTACCTGGTCAACATGGCAAAACTCCATCTCTATTAAAAATAGCCAAGTTAGCTGTGCATGGTGCTGCATGCCTGTAATTCCAGTTACTTGTTGGGGGTGGGGGGATGGATGAAGTGGGAGAATCCCTTGAACACAGGAGGCAGAGGTTGCAGTGAGCCAAGATCCCACCTCTACAGTCAGGCATTGGTGACGTAGCAGAACAGCAGCTTAAAAAAAAAAGGAAGGGGGGGTCCTCTCTCCAGAGCAGGTAGTGTGGTGCTACTACTTAGTTATTCTGGCTTCTTCTTCTTTTTTTTCCAGATCGAGTCTCATTCTGTCACACTGGCTGGAGTGCAGTGGCATTATCTTGGCTCACTGCAACCTCTGCCTCCTGGGTTCAAGTGATTCTCCCACCTCAGCCTCCTGAGTAGCTGGGACTATGGGCACCAACAATTATGTGGGGCTAGTTTTTGTACTTTTTTAGTGGATACGGGGTTTCACCATGTTGGCCAGGCTGGTCTAAAACTCCCGACTTCAGGTCATCCACACAGCATGGCCTCCTAAGTACTGAGATTACAGGTGTGAGTCACTTCTCCCAATCGTTATTTCAGCTTGTAAATTTCCTCTGAGTTCAGGGATCCTGCCCCAAACACAAGCAGCCCTTGCCTAATTTTTTCTTCCTTAAGAGGCAGATTGTTCTCCCTCAATTCCCAGGTGAGAATGGCCCAGTGGCACTGGGTGCCTTGTGGAAACCTCACAGCAGGACAAGGCGAAGGCAGAGAAGGCCAGGACTGAGCCTCCTGTCCCCTGGTGCCCAGGGTTGGGGCTATTTCAGTATCATCTGAAGATCACAAGCATCAGATGCCCTAGGGATGAGAGCAGGAAAGAACACACTCTCCTGCCCTGAAATGTTCCACCCGTGAGTTTAAGGGCATTGAGCACGTGACGCTGTGGAAACACAAGGAAACAAACAAGCAAACGCTTCTAGATGTGATTGGCAGTGGTGTGCCAAGCAACACTGCAAACCCACACCCCTGTGGTCTAGGATGTGAATGCTGGGCTCTGCTGCCTCCCCCTTTTCAGAGCACAAGAAGGAGCTCATTTTCTGTAATCATTCCTGAAGCATAACCTGACCAGCACCCCAGATTCATCAGCTGCTGGGAGGGTACTGGGTTCGGGGCTATTGATGTCATCGATGATACCAGCTTTGAGAAACATGGAGTCACTGGGAGGGTGGAGACACCACTTACCCCTGCTCCTTCCAGCACCACCAAAAAGGAGGAGCCAGGTGGGAATGAAGGAGGGTCACTGAGCTCCACGTAGCTTTCTGCATCCCCCACCATCCTTCCCCCAATGTCAACTGCGACATGGAGCCCCCATGACAGGGCCTTTAATCAGTGCAGGGGACTTAGATGTGGACTGTGGGTTCTGCAGGCGGTGCTGGTTCCCACCTCTGTCCATTGCATCTTTCTAAGGGAAGCGAGTATCAGCTGGGATTTATCCCTTCCCATCCAGTTCTCATTGCTTATGTTGTTATCTATCTGGCACCTGTTGGCACTTCACTTACAACCCCAAATAAAATGTCTCTTCCAATTCCCTTGCCCTAATTCA